TCTTGGGAGGGAGGACATGGTTACTGTCTGGTGCATCCTGGGAGGGAAGCGGCAAGGGGACAAGGCCCCCTCTTCTCTCTCTGTCCCCCCGAGCTTTGCTCTCCTTCCAGTGTTCCCTAGCACCTGGCCCTGCAGACAGCAGGGAAGTCCGGCTGACCTCTGTTCAGCCTCCAGGGCTCCCAGCAGGTGTAGACATGTGGAAGGCAGATCCGAGGGGGAAGCGAAGCGGAGGCCACCCCACATGCTGCGTGGACAGGGCACCTCCTGTGGGTGTGGGGACAGACCCCAAGCGCTGGGTTCGGATCACTTGGTGCCCCAGTTCCCTCCAGGAACCACTGCTTCCCTCAGGCCTTTCCTGATGGGCTGCGGGGTCTCATTGAGTCGTAAGGTCTCAGCTCCACACCTCAGGTTTCGTCTGGGCTCAGAGTGCAGTGAGCACAGAGGAGAGGGCTGGACTGTGTGTGCGTGTGCTGTGCGTGTGTGTGTGTGCACGCATGCACTGGGCACAGTCACTGTGGCTCTGGGGAGCCAGTGCCCGGACCAGAGATTGCATGGGGAGCCCTCTCCCTCCCTACGCAGTGCCCCTCACTCTCCCGGGTCAAGAACTACTTAAAGGCCGTGACAGGGTCTTGGGCATCAGTGCTCCCCGCTCCCCGCAGCCCACAGCCCGGCACTTGGTAGGGCCCTGGTCAGGGTTTGCTGGATGGGGGCTGAATGACAAAACTCAGCCCAGCAAGGGCACAGACACGGCCTGGACTCAGCCCGGGGGTGACCCTCTGCTCCCGAAGCCGGACTCCGGTCACCTTACTGACCCGTGAAGGGCTGACTGGCAAATCCGCGGACCCTAGTTCCCCACTGTGTTACTTTTTCAAGACGTGGTCATTCTTTAGAAGATGCAATTCAAATGGAGCCGAGCAGGCACAGGTGACAACGCAGCCCAGCTCTCTCAGGGACGCCTGGGGGGACTCTGCACAAAAGAGCGTCCACTAGGAGACCCCGTCTTCTGGGCTCCAGATTCCAAGAATTTGGCCCTCCTGCTTTTTTCCCGTCCGGGCGCAGCGAACCATCCCACTGCCGCTTGTCAGCACAGCCGTCCTTTGTATTTTAAGACCCAACATTCACGTTTTAAAAAAATCTTTATGATGATCCCCAGTGATTGAAAGGCTGTGTTTTGTCCACACGTCCCCTGCCCTGAGGCGTCGTATGGGGGTGAACCACACAGTCTTCTGAGAACCAAGACCACCTTCCAGTGTTTGGCTGAAATTCAGTCGTTTTCTGGAAATAACTTAGAGTGTTTGCATAGTTGGCTGTTCTTTTCCGTGTTGGACTTCATGGACTTTGTGGAGTTGTGTTTCCTTGAATCTGTGAGCCGGCAGATCCTCTGGACTTAGACCGTGTGAGCGTCCACGTTCCAGTCTATAGGCTTCGGAAGGAATCCGCTCCCGCCGAGTGCCCTGTGCACGATTCCGTGGAGGAAGGTGATGGATCAGCAGTGCTGGGGTGAAACTAGAGCTGCCTCCGGGATTTCTTTAGTCTCTCCGTCTGCATGTTCTGTGTTTGTGCTGACCCCTAAGGGCTGGTTCAGAGAAGTTCGTTACTGCAGCACACGTGTCGTTTTTGTGCGTTTCTAGTGCGATGTGCTCCAAACGTTTCTCTACAAAGTTCAAAACTGTGCATGCCTGCAGTTAGGATGCTTTTATGTCACACTTCGTAGCTTCAAAGGAGACCTGGCAGGACGTCTCGTTACCTAATTTTGACAACGTGCCAACTAAAGATGAATATCTTTTGAGGACCAATATGGGCACATTCTGACAGCAGTTCTCAGGGCCACTCAGGGAGGGGACTGCTTGCAGGACAAGCAGACGCATCGACCCCTGAGGCTTCTGTCAAGAGCTGGGATGCCGCCCAGCCCTGCAGTGGGGGTTATGGCTCAGGGTTCAGAGCACGAATTAAGGGGGCAATTCGGCTGGCCTTCAAAATGCTTCCTCCCCAAACGCAGCCCCACAGCGCCTTTCTCAGGAGCGATTCCCACGGCAACGGTGCTATCTTCCCAACAGATTTAAAGTGACAGTTTGTATAGCAAGTCTTTGCACAGCTCTTGTTGGAGCAGGTCTTACAAATTGCTCTTGTGAACACAGACTTGATGGGAGACTGGGAGGGCGTCCGGAGTTCCTGTGTGCACTCCC